ATTGAGAGGTCATTAGTGTTTGAATTGTGGTAGCTTTGTAAGAGGAGAGATATGACAAGACACAGGCATAGATGTGCATGCTCCCAGAGTCTTCCCACATGGTGCTAGATGCCACCTCAGGACTGTGCCAGCCAGAGGCCATCACCAGAACTGAGCCAGTACAAGTGCTGTGCTCTTGAAATTTCTAAAGTAGTGGGTAAATAAGCCTCTCTTCCTTATAAAGTTAGGATGATTCAGGTATTTCATGATAGAAATAAAAATCTGACTAATATGGATGCATAATATTAGGACAGTGATTCAGAAAAAGTAATTGAGATTTAGTCCCAGGAATTGTCAGGTTTTGTAGAGATCTACCTATAAGGAACTCACTGTCCCTTTTCTGAGAGCTAAATTGCAAAGAAGAGGATTTTGTCATATCTATTTCTCTGTCTCTGTCTCTTTGTCTCTATTCATCTACCATTGGTGGTGAATGTATGGCCCATGTGCTGCAGTGGATACTCAAAGCTCTCTCTTTTGGCACACAAGACAAGTTGAGTCAACCTAAAGAGTGTTAGACTGAAATGCAGGAGCTATAAGGATCATATTTATTCAATCAACAATTCCTCATCATTATTCCTCTTTACCTCTAGCACTGGCTTAGATAGGAAGGATTTCCTTTTTTTATTTCCTTTGATTCGTGTCTTTCTTCATGCCTCTTTGTTTTTCCTTGAGCTTGGAAGTTTCTAAATAGTAAACACATGCTGAACCATTTTTCTCTTCTTGTAGACTCTGTACCCTAAGGAAGGGCTTTCATTTTTCACCCAAATTTAAATTTCATTGTATTTGATGATTGTGCTCTAGTTAAGAAAAGTGTATGTTCTTCTGTGTGGTGTTATACAGCTGTATTCTGGTGCCTGACAATGAGTACACTAATAGTGCAGATTGAGGTTGACTGAATGACTATAACAGATCCTGAGCATCTTTTTCTAGCAGTAATGAAATATATATTCAACCCTTGAGAAATAGTCATAAGATGGTTGATTAGCCAGGGCAATTTGACTATTGAGTCAGTATTTTTACAATTCCATAAACTAAGGTCATTATTTATAGATTCATTTCAAGATTCTGTTTTCATGGATTGCCACAGAAGATGGTGGATCAATAAGGAGCAAGGTAAAGAGCCTCTCTGAGAGAAACATCTCAGATGCTAGAATTTACCACCATAAATAAGACTGGACAAAAGTAGAGGGATTCTCACAACCCAGGAAGAAACTAAGGAAAAAGAAAAAGAATAAGAAAAGAAAAACGTGGATGGAAGTCTGGAACCAGACATGCTCTCAACAGAGCCAGTTCCACACTGTGCTAGACACCCTGGAGTCAGATGACTCACAGTCACGCTGAAGTCAGGGGTTGGCAACAATGCAATGGAGAATGGAGCTGGCGTGGAGATCTGCACTAGCCCACAGTGAGTGCTTGGAGTTTGGTCCTCCTGCAGGATGAATGACATATTGGAATTGGGCAGGACGGGCCTGAATCCGGAACCATAGTGGCTTCAGTTGGCTGCTCCTGGTGCAGAGCAGATTGGTGAGAACTGCTGGGCTAGGTCATGCTCCTTGGCAGGACCTAATAGCCAGGGATGAAGTTGCCCCAGAATTATCCTGAACTGGTTTCATCTGTGTGGCACACACTAACCTGGTGAAGACCTCTGGTGATTGACTGGCTCAGAGGGTCTGCCCCTGTTTGTACCTCAGTGATCAACAGCAAACTGGAGAAGGCAGCAATCCCTAGCCAGCACACTTCAGAGTAACCATAACCAATACAGAAAGGACTTGGGATCTTCACCACACACCTGTCTGGAAGAAACCAGAAACATGACAAGAGAAAGAAACAAGAAAAAGTCTCCAGCCACAAACCGAACAATGTGGATCCAGAAGTAAACACAGAGAGATCAATGGCAGCAAACATGCAATATTGAAAATGGCATCAGCTGACATAAAGAAATATCTTTGTGACATTATAGAAGAACTCAAGGCAGAAATACTAATACAAGTAAAGAAAGATATAAGAAGATTAATAAAAAGAAATGCTAAGCACCTCTCAAGAGATGCTTAGCCTCTTGATGGAAGACACAGATGGAAGGATGGAGGAACATATAAAAAGGAAGGAAACCTTCAATGAAGAATATAAAAAATATAGAATACATGAGACAGATTCAAAGAGATTAAATTAAAATTAAAAACTCCATTGAAAGCTCACAAAATTGCTTTAAAAAAACTAAAGATAGACTATCAAAACTTGAAGGTAGGTTTGCAATGTGTGATCGCAAAAGGAAAGATCTCTTAAAAATAACAAGGAACCAGGAAGTAGCAATACAAAGGTTAGAAGACAACAAGAGGACTATTACTTAAGAATAAAAATGAGAGTGAAGAAGCAGGGATAAACACAAATGAAATACAAAGTCTATTCACAGAAATGATTAAGGGAAACTTCCCATACATGGATAAAGGAAATGATATTCAGATATATGAGGCATACAGGACTCCAGCCACCTACAATCAAGACAGATCTATACCAGACATATAATAATCAAGATCTCAGGAATTCATCACAAGAGCGGAATATTAAAGGCTGTCAGAGAAAAGAAACAGACCACCTATAAAGGAAAACTCACCAAAATCACGACAAACTTCTTGGCACTACCATCAAATCAAGAAGACTTGGAGCAAAGTATTCCAAGCCCTGAAAGAAAATAACCTGCAATCCAGATTGTTGTACCCTAAAAAACTCTCTCTCAAAATTAATGGAGAAACAACATGCTTCCATGACAAAGAGGAACTGGGGGAGTTCATGACCACCAATCCAACCCTACAAAAAACACTGAAGGACATTCTAGAGAGAGAAAAAAAACTCCAGGGTTTCAGGAACAGTGGCAGAAAGGCCTCAATGAATTGGGCAGACAGTGGAATGAAGGAGAAAAGTAAACAATCAATGACAGAAAAATAGCATGGCAGAAATGAGGCAGAGAAGGTTGGCTATAATCTCTATCATAGATGGCTTTGATACACTAACAAAAAGAAACACAGGCAGAGTAGATCAGGAGGTAAGGTCCATCAAGATCACTGTACTGGAAATATAATCAATCTGAAAGAGGGTTTATAGACTGAAAGTCAAAGATGAGAAAACAATGCTCTATGTGACAGGGAACCAGAGAGAAATAGGGGCTGCTTGTCCAGCAGCTGCAGGTAGATTGGAAAGACATATAACTCTTTTGTGCAGTGGAGAACTACACAGCTATAAGGAAGGAAAATCTTGAGGCTTTTGTAAGTCAAGGAATATAATTTAAGATCAAGCTCAGGGGTAAAAAGGTTCACAACCACTTAGGTAAATAGCAGATTCCCCCTCTAATGTAAAAACCAAAGCAGTTATTGGGACCCAAAATGTACAATGCCCTCTGTGAAAGTGAAAGGGGAAGAATTGTCTAAAAAAGGAAGGCAGAGGACATCGTTAATAGTGTATGAGAATTTAAAACCCACATTATTCTCATCACTCTGTTTAGTTTGGTTATATTCTGTTTCAGTCTGTCTACTTGTGCTAGATTTGAGGGCACAGACAGCTATTCCAAAAATAGCAGGCTATACCGTGGCAACCATCCTTAATTCCCTATTAACTTAATCTGAAGCCCTGTATTACTTACATTGTCTTATTATGACTGATCTTATTTGAATTTGGTTTGTTAGATCACTGTCTTGTCTTGACTGATTTTATTCGAATGTGTTATATTTGATAATATCAAGTCTGAGAGTACAGGCAACTACTCTGAAGATGATAAGATTCACTAGGATACCCATTCTGGTTTGACTATTACCTGCTTTTGAAGTCCTATAATGTCTCCAATGTTTTGTTTTCAGTAATATTTTTATGTACTGCTATGTTCAATTATACAATGCCTGATGATATGGGCAATTCTATTGAAGATAACAAGAGACATCATAGTAACCATTGTAGATCAGCTCGTATTGTGGTTTTAACCCTGTTTTGTTTTCTTTCTCATTTAGTTTTATTCTTTTCAAAATAAAATTTAAAAAAAGATTCTGTTTTCACATCTCTAACATGGGATTATTGTGTCTACTTGGCAAGATTATTGAGAGGATTAATGAAAACTGATGTAAAACATAATGGCAAACACAATAGATGTTAGTGTCTTTTCCTTACATGCTCTTCTAGTTTCCTTAACAATACAACTCTGTGTGTGCGTGTGTGTGTGTGTGTGTGTGTGTGTGTGTGTGTGTGTCTGTGTGTCTGTGTGTCTGTGTGTCTGTGTGTATAGAAGAGGGAAGGATCTAAAAGAAACAAGTTGTTTGGTTCATGTTGTCCAGTTTCTCACCCTCCCCCCATGTCATTTTAGGCTGGACAATTGTTAGCTGTGAGACACTGTCCTGTGCATTGTAGATTGCTTAGGAGCTCTGCCCTCCACCCACTAGATGCCATTTACATTCCCAAGTTGTGACAAGTAAGCATGTCCCTAGATATTACCTACCATTCCCTGCAAGGCAAAATTTCCCCTTGTTAAAAAAAAATCATCCATTGAATAAGTAAATATTTTACTTATAATTTGTTCAGGTACTAGGTAGACATTGCTTATGGCTATATTAGGTTTAAATGTATATAAAATTAAGGCTTATTCAGAAAAAAGCAAATATCAAATAAAGTATATAGCCAATCCATAATCATCCATGAAGTGAGTAATGATCTAAGTTATAAAAAAGTTATTTCAGTCATACAATTTCCCTGCTTTAGATTGCTTTTCTAATTATGGATGTTTTAGGCTAAAAATAGCAATAGTAATCAGTTTCCTGAATGCATGCTAACAGATGGCAGAGAGAAAAGGCGAGGGTATGTGAAGAGAAATCATCTGAGTTCTTAAATTTTCATGGGTCTTCATAAAATGGGTACTTTAACCACAGGTGCTCAACTTGCAATGCCTATTGGCAAACTTAAATAGTAGCAACCTTCATACTTACAGATGAATTAAAGACTTTAGTCCCCGGAAAGTATGTCTTGAAATGGACTTGATGTTGTTGTTTTCTATGAATCTGCAATAAGTCATAATACTTTGGTCAGACAGCTGCCTGGAACCTGAGAGTACTTGTCCTGAATCATCATGTGGAAAAAAAATGTGATTTACTTACAGATACTCTAGATGTGGAAGACCAATAAAGGCATCATCACTGATCACATCAAAGGAGTTTGATGTGAATAACCTGCCCAGAAAAAGTACACAATGAAAATTGTTAAACTGACAGACTGTCAATCTTTACTGCTGTTATCTTTCAGAGAAATGAGTGTAGACTGTACACAGAAAAATATCTGGAAATCTGCCTTCTACAGTTCTGTTTATGCAGATAATGTTGGCAGCTTTTCTTACTCCTCAATACTTTCTTATCAAATGTTCCTGTAAGGTGCTTTGTGCCCCACTCCTCTCCGTGACGCCTGCCACCTGCCTCGGGTAACATTTTGAGATACAAGCAAAGCAGGTATGACAGCAGGTGCACCCAAACCAACTTTTGCATGTTTCCTCAACAAAGACACTAACAACCTTTTCTACTTGCCGTGGAAAACTCTGGAATGTTCTCATGGATTAACCAATGGTGCTTTTGGATTTTAATCTTAGGAAACATACAAAAATTCAGCTGCATGCCCAGTTGTGCTGTATGATCTCAGACAGGTCACTGAGACCAACTTGATGAACATAACTGACCTTGAAAGTAAGACAAAATGAAGATGGGAAGCAATGAGGTTTAGGAAAATCTTAGACCATTTATTACTAAATAGTTGAAACAAACACTTTTACTTGAGCACATTTAGTCATAATTTCAGAATCCTCAGGGAGCTGGTTTTGAAATTTCTGATGAAAAAGGACATCAGCTGTCCCCATACCCTGCTAAAGTCTTCAGGGAACTTCCCAGTTTTCTGGATGAAAAGCTTGAAGAAGTACTGCTGGCTCAAATCATAGAATTGTATATTGTATAATAAAATAACATAATAATAATTCTGTTACTAAAAGCTTATTATTTTACTTTTAGCATTTAAGGATTAAAAATAATTGCCTGTAACTTTCTAAGTAACTTCATTTCTGAGCTTGGTTAGGGGATTAAAACTAGGGGATCTCAGTTTCTAACATTTATGAGTATTTGTTTTGACATCTGGGCTTGCTTCAGGGTAATCAGAGGAGGATGACAACAGGGCATTAGAGAAGAATTAGGCATGAATTAATCATTGTTGATGCTGAAATATGGGTACAAGAGAGTGAATGCTACTATTATCTCTACTTTTATATGTATTGAAATACTTTCCATAAAAATGGGGATGGAGAATGAACTAAACAAGCAAAATGAGATGATATCTTACAATGCTTCCTAAAGTAACATCCCTGGAATGGTGTTGGGTTCTCTTCTAGTTCCTTTTCTCTCTAAAGTCATGGCTTTTCCCTCAAGCAATTCACTAGATTCTGAAAAGTCAATACTACAATACTAATAAACTGGAGGTATATTAGAGCCTATAGTAATTAAAACACATTTAAAGGTTTATGACTTTTGTTACAACTTTGATAAATTGTTTCTTATCACTTTATGGTTCTGGAAAACAATAGGATGCTCAGCCTTACACCAAAGTAAGCTACTCAAAAGGCTTCTATGAGCCCTACATTCTCACTTCATTTAGCATAGATTCTGCATAGCCAGCACCACAGATGGACAGACTTCAATAAGGTTGAAACTGATACAGAGAAGTATCACCCATGCTCAAGGATTTACAGACTGTCCTATAGTTGACTGGAAATTTCATCATCACAGTCTTAAATTGCCAGAAGAAATAACTTTCATTGCTAGTTCTCTTCATGGTAAATCATGTGAACGATAAAGTGGGAAATGGTCATTAGTGGGCATAATCTGCCAATGCATGTCCAAGAAGTAAAAGAAAGAATTTCCACCAGAATTTTGTCTGCTTTTTCACTGCTTATCCCTAGCATATACCTGTCCTAGAGAGATACTGAATAAATATTTGCTGAACAAAGAGGAATACACTTTACATTAAATTCCCATTGTTACTAGCTTATTAGGCAGCATCCTATGGCCCAAGTAGCCTGACTCAAAACAGTGAGTTGGGCTAAGATGATACTCATTTTAGGCATGTAGGCAAATGGAGCCAGTCTGCAGAAGAGCTAACTGAGAGCTAAGTAGTGTCCATGTTAAGTAAGAAGTGTGTCTAGGGGATACATAGGAGAGAGATGGACATGGAGAAGCCAAGCTTAGAGAAATGTGTTAAGGCAGGCACGAAGGGAGATGCCTAGATCTGTGTTAGAGTCTAAGCCAGTGCCTCTCAGTCTTGCTTGCTCATGTGATCATCTGGGGAGTTTCAAGATACTGATACCTAAGTCCCGCTCTCAAGCATTCTAGTTCAATTCTATACCCCCCCCCCCGCCCCGTGTAACACATCTGCAGTGAAAGTGTATGTGGTAAGCTTTGCAGGTCAGTCAAAATACCCTCCTGTTCTTGTGGTAGCGTCTGTTCCTTACAAAGTCTGACTCCTGTGGGACGTGGAGGAACACTGGATTTCCTGCTCCCCATAACTACACATAGCAAGAGTCTGCACTAATCATTGGTTGAAAGTTATAGCTATCTTCACAACAGTGGTGTTACAGAGGGGTTCATGCAATCTCAATGATCTTGCCACTCTGAACAGAGCTCTGGGCTCAACGAACTTGCTAAAAGACATCCCATATTTGTGGAGAGGTCATGTGGAATTTGCCCTCTACCCCGACCCTATGGGAACAGCTGAGGGCTCTGCCACTTCCTCACAGGGGCAGGAAAAGCCAAGCATTTCCCCTAGAATTCAGAGATAGACACAAGAGTGTGCCTTGACCTGCTGCATCTTGAAATCTGTCTTTTTCAGTGCTGCTTATGCAGATACTACTCGCAGCCTTTCTTCCTCTAATTACTTTCTCAAGGGCCGTGCACTTGTGAATTCAGTAAGAAAGGAGACTATGGAGAACAGCAAGGAGAGCTTTTTCTTTTGCATCCTAAGGAGTGTGTATGCCCTCACCAGGAAGGAGAATTAAAGAGACTGTACACATCAACTATCAGCCAGTACCATTCATTTTCAAATGACAACTATCTTCATAAAACTTACATTTCAAAACATACTGCCTGGATTATCTCAGTTGGTCTTTGGAACAACTCTGTAAAACCTTAGAGAAAGAGCCGCTGTTTGGTGGGAGAAAACTGAGATCCCAGACTACTAAAGGACTTGCTCTAGGTTATAAGGCAAGACCCCCAAGTCCTGTACCCTTCCCACACACTAGTGCTGCTCATCATAGGGCCCAGGTCACACGTCCTGAGGTTCACATTCTGGTGAACAGCCATGATAACCTGACTCAGTTCACAGGGACTTAAGAGGTGTAATTAAACAAGAATTCTTTTTTGAAAATGATTAACCAGTATAAGTAGTCTCAAAGTCATGTCAAGATAATATCAACCTGTATTTTTAAAAGTAAGATGTTTTAAAATTTTGAATGTGATTTGGTGTGTTCTGTTTATGAATAATATAAAATCATTATAGAAATTTTGGAAAATTTAGAAAAGCTTAAAGAGTAAATAAAGCACATCATTATCGTACTACCCACAGACATGCCTGTACATAATACACATAAAGAGGGCCAGAAAAAAAAGATGGCAGAGGGGCATGGATATATTTCAGGGCACAGTGCCTGCCTGCAGCATGAGGTCCTGAGTTCAAGTTCCACACCAAAAAATAAGATACATGCATGTGTAAAGTTGAAATAATTTTTTATCATTTTCATTTGCTTATTTTATCATGAACAATTTTGATGAAAGTTTTTGGATAATATAATTTTTGTTTGTTTATTTTTTGAGCCAGACTCTTCCCTATATTGTACAGCCTGGCCTTGAATTCACTACATAGGTCAGGCTGGCCTGGAGTTTGCGGTGAGTGCTGGGATTACTGCCTCGGCCTCGAGAGCACTTGAATTAAAGGCGTGTGCCACCACACCAGGGATAATACAGTTTAAACAGATATAGTTTTAGCAAATTTGGAAAATATACAATGATTTGAATTTTTTATTGCTGATTCTAATATTTAGTATCAGAAACACTACCATAACTATCCTTATATATAAATGGTTTCCTCCAGGTCCTTATGATAGACAGGACAGATTTCTAATAGTATCACATTGGATTAGAGATTTTTTTAAACTGCTGATTTTACCAAATAATACAGCCAACTCTGAGTACATGTCTGTTTGAGACTGTCTGTCTGATTGCATTTTCACCAATATATAGTATTATTATTTTTTTCTTTTTCTATGAAATCATGAGTTCTTTAGTCCTAAGAGTTGGAACATGCTTTTAGGTACAATGTGAAGTGAAACCCCGCTTTGATTCTTTCCTAAATATTTACCTAAATTTGTCTCCAAATTTTTGTAAAATAATCACTGTCTGCTTGACTTGGGGGTGTTGCTCTCTCCTAGCAGGTGCTATTTCCTCGTTGTAGTTCCATTAGTTCTACCCAGAGTCTGCTGCAAACCCAGAACCGCCTCATCCAGTGCTTCCCAGAGCAACTTGCCTAAGGACTTCAAGGGGATGAGAGGTTCATATGCAGGAAAAAAAATGGCAGAGTTCTTAACTACACAAGTTTTTTCTGCTCTTAAATAAACAGACTCTTCAAAAGGGAATTAAATATGCAGCCCCCAGTCTTATGAAAATGGAATGATTTAATTATTGAGCTCTACACAAAACATTCAAGGGGACATAACCAGGCAAATGCTGGTTTAGACACTTGGGAAATAGCTGTGAGGAATCTAGCTTCAGATAAAAAGAGTGAGGCTATCCACTGACGTTTAGGAGCCTTTTCCTGATGAATGAACTGCAAGCAGTCCTCTATTTCTCCTAAAATATGTAGCATCTAGTGTCTAGTGAGCGATCCCTAAAGAAGAGGTGAACCAAGCTGCTTGATCAGGTGGATAGCCGGTGGGGGGCCTTCCTAGACACCACATCAGTGAAGGCACACTAGACGGTGTCAGGGTGTTTTATGCGGCAGCAGATGGCTAATTCTCCAGGAGGACAGGGCTCCTTCACTCACCTATGCTCTGCTGTCCAGCTTCTCTAGGACAAGATGAAGTGAAAACAATTAAGCTAATAAATAAAGCAAATATCACATATATTTCCAAAGTATGTTCCATAGAACC